GTGTGTGTGTGTGTGTGTGTGTCTCTTACATTTTTACGCATTCTCCTTCCTTCTGCAATTCTGCAAGTCAAGTTCTGTCAGAATCAACCGACACTGCAAAAGCTGAAGTGAGAGTGGAAATTACGTTTCGTCAAATCGAATCCATAGGACGCGATATATCGTAAGAAGACAAAGGATTGGTATCAACGGAATGCCGGAAATCTGCCCCCGCGAGGTCTTTGATGGCAGTAGTGGCAGTCTCCATCATTAACGAAGGACTGCTGAACGGTGTTAAACGAGGAAGTGGCTTGTCTGAGAGCGTCGCGACGTTGAAATCGCTCGCGATATTACGTTAGCCCGATGGCGATGAGACGAGAACAAAGCGAGGTGTACAGGCACAATGGCTTCCGAGATTATAGGATCGCGAGACGAAGCACCGACGGCGACGACGTTAAAGTTAACAAGCTGCGACTAATCTCCAAATCGGGTTTGCCATCGCGTCGCTTTGCTCCTCCTGCCGTTTTATCGTTCGTTTGCTTCGAATGCGACGCAACACGTCTGGAAATCGCCTCGAGAACGAGAATCGAAATCCCCCTCCCCTGCCCCGCTCGCAGTGTAACGATCTTTCTCTCTGTCAAGAATGTCAGAACGTGCAAAACGCCGGCTCGAAATAACAGCGATCCAATCAGACGACGACACAGTTTTGAAAAGCAGCGTCGCGTCATCAAGTGACGCGCAGATTCAAATTGATCTTGAATATGAGTCGAGCTCAACGTTTCACTTTGGTTCCTTTTACTTCTCGCGAACGGGAAAATAAATTCTTCGAAACTGGCAGATATCTCGGATCGGTGAGTGGAACTTGTACGCGGTTCGATGAAACTAAACGACGAATCGATACAGAGGAATATTTCATGAGGGCGAAGAACAGTCGGTGAAAACAGCTACTCGAAACGAGCAAACGAGCCGCGATTTAAAAATGTTTGCCCGATGATCGACGCAACAAGTGTCGCTCGGTATTTTAATCGAGCGCTTCTATTTCGTCGGCGTTGGACCGAAATTAATCCCCGTCTGCAGCTGCAGAGAGGATGTCGTTATAATATTTTACCACCAGATTACGTATTAACGC